CTCAGGGGCAACCAACATGGGTTCACTGCGGGCAGATCCTGCCTGACTAACCTTGTTTCCTTTTACAACCAGGTCACAAAGGCCTTGGATGTGGGTGTTGAGGTGGATGTCCTCTACCTGCCTTTCAAGAAGGCCTTTGACACTGTTTCTCACCCCATTCTCATTAAAAAACTAACTGACTGTGGCATTGATGCCTACACAGTCAAATGGGTGGCAAATTGGCTCGATGGTTACACCCTGAGAGTGGGGGTGGATGGATTGTTTTTGACCTGGAGGGATATAGGTAGTGGAGTTCCCCAGGGCTCGGTCCTTGGGCCTATGCTATTTAACATCTTTATCAGCGACTTGGAGGTGGGCATAGAAAACACGCTGCCCAAATTCGCTGATGACACAAAGATCTGGAGAGAAGTGGGCACACTGGAGGGAAGGGACAGAATCCAGCTAGATCTAGACAGGTTACAGAGGTGAGCAGATGAATCTGATGATAATCTCTATATTAGATGGATTAACACTTTCTTGCTTCACTTTGTGTAGTTCTTGGCTGCTTAGTATAGTTTCAGCCAGCTTGATATTGGCTTGTAAAAAATACTTTGTTTTATGAATCTTGGAGTCAGAGCTAAAATTTAACTTCTGTTATGAAGAGCATATGGTGAGGTATGCCTTGGCCCTAGGAGGTTCCCTTCTTTCTGACACTCTGTGATCATGAGCATAAAGACTAAAGGTTAATGGTATTTGCAAAATAGTGAAATCATTTGAACTTTGTTTACCCTTAAAGTTAATGAGAAACAAAAGTTGCCATTTCAGCAGAAGTCCAAAATTCCAATTTCAGAGCGTTTTTAATTAAGATAATACTGTTATGGTACTTCATAATCTTCTAATGAGTGTATCATTTATCAGGTGTCTTCTTTTATGGGTCTGACCTTGAAAAAATTTAGAGAATAACCATGGAAAAACAAACTCCAAAAGTACAAGCCTTTGGAGGAATACAGGTTCTAGGCAGCTTTATTAGCAGAGAAGTAAACCTGATCTACAGGGGTGTCAACGCATTGGTTTACTTTGCATAATATAGGGTGTGTCTACATGTGTATTTACATTCGCCTAAACTTAATGTGACTTTGCTTAAGGCGTATTAATGTGATTTATGTGTGCACCGACATGTGGACACGCTAATGTGCATTAAGGTGCATTAAATTTAGGCATGAATAGTTAAGTTGCATTAGCACACGTGCAGATGCGCTAATGCGCATTAACAGTGTGTATCCATTGCACATAGTGTTAATGTGTATTAGCGTGTTTACACGTGTGCTAATGTGACTTAGCTATTCGCACCTTAAAACTGGCAATTTAAGGCTACGCCTGCTTAAGAGGCACGTGTAGACGTGCCCACACAGTTTTCATTAAGTAACTTGGACTAAAAAATTAGTTAGAAATATGGGCAAGTGTGAAGACCAGACTGACAATGTGGAAATAATTTCCTTGTTTCACAGTATAGGCATCTGCCCCCAGCCAGGATGCTGGTATTTCCATTTTCTGAGAGAAGTAGTAGCAGTAGCTAACTTTGCCGTAAGTACTCCACAAGCTGAAGTGGAAAAGCTTGGACAGGAAGTTGGCTGGGAAAAGCATACACTGCTATAAAACATGTTAAAAGTCTCTAAATGTCTTTTCCCCATCTCTGCACCTGGAGTAACACTCTGTTTATCAGCATTCTATAGCCAGAAGTCATCCAGCTGCTGAGACAGATATATGTAGTTCCAAAAACATGTTCCTCTTATCATTAAGGTTCTGCTTGTGGAAGTTCTAACAAAAGCCCTGTCTCCACTGTCACCACTTATTTGCAGTAATATGTGTGAGGACCTCATCCACTCCCTCCCCTTCTATAACTGAGCCTGAACCTCTGATGGCATGTCTACAGTGAATGAACAGAGTTAATGGTGACAGGCAGATTACACAGGTTTGGAGATACCTCTGCTTTAACAAATTACTAAACAAACTTATACTGTATAATGCCTTACATTAACCTTCTTTTCTTTTTTCTCTTTTCCTTTTTCTTTCCCTTTCTTCTTTTTCTCCTTTTCTTTTTTCCCCTTTTTTCCCTTGTCTTTGGATTTTTTCTGTAGTTCTTCTTCTTTAGCAGCCAGTTCAGCAGCAACCTGGAAGAGAATCAAAAGAACACATAGGGCCATCCTCATGTTGCTAGAAATACAAGGTATAATGAAGACATGTATAAAGTGTAGGGATCAGAACAGGGGATACTTTTTACTGCTTGAAATTAAATTTTCACTTTCAGAAAGGGTTATGACCTGATATTTCCTTCCTTCAGTTTCATGTTTCTGGGCTTTTCATTAGTTGATCTATATTTCACAAAGTTCTGTATGGGTAAGTGGCTCTCAGTGAGTATACATTGATTGGTTTTTGCTCATTTGAAATAAACAAAATGCAACTGTGAAGTGCTCATCCCATGCTCTGGGTACCTAATCATAAATTACAAACAGAAAATCAGCAAAGGATGGCCATAAAGGTATCCACCTTGACCCACTCCCTCTGTAATAGTGCTAGAGCAGAAATAAAAAAGGTATGTTTTGTAGTGTAAAGCTAACAAATCTGGGTTTTGACAGACCACTGAGCGGGGTAAGGAGGAGGGGTGTGTGTGTGTGTGGGGTGGGGTGGGGTGGAGAACAGGTTCCAAACCAGCAAATCCTTCAGAAAGCATAGCCTACCTATGGCCCCATCATATATATGAGGGGGCACCAGCTGGAGAGCTTTTACTGATGTCAGCTGTGGCATTATTTAATGGAAGACAGGTGATTTCTGAGGTCATTTTGGGCTTAATAGGGTAAAACCAAATCCTTGAATTCCACCTAGAAACATAACATGCCAATGGTACATAACTTTAGACCTGGATCATTCTTCCAATTTGATCTAGTGTTTTTAAAGCAGACTGCTTCTATATAGATGTGTCTTTTAGGAACGTATTGGAGGTGCAACATGGGTAGAATATTGACCCTCTTTTAAATCATATTTGGCAGAAGACAGATGTTAGATAGAAATATAAATGCATAGCTCACATCCTCAGCTGGGCTAAACTAGCATAGCTCCAAAATCACCAGCTGAGACTTGGTCCTTTACACTTGCTAGCCCTTTATTTTATTTCATCACCAATGATCTTGCACATTTTTCCATGTGACTACTTGCATTTCTATGGCTTCTTTTCTTTCTGTGAGTTTCTTCTTTTACTTTCTTTCCTGTTCATTTATATCTTCCCCATATTTCTCATTTTGTTTCAGTTCCTTTTTATCCCCATATCCATTTTTTTACTAGGCCTGAGAATCCTTCATAAATCTTCCCTCTATTTGAATTTCTAGGACAATAAAAGGCCATGTAGGATTTGCTTTCTCAGAATTCACCTCCTAAAGAGCTCAATGAATATTTGGGGTCTCAGTTTCAGTTAGCAGCAAGATAGTCTCATGGCTTGTTTAATCAGTCTTCAGTTTTTAGCATAAAATGTTAGGGCACATGGCTTCCGAATCTGGGTCTTATGACCCTTTGTGCAATGTACCGAAATCTGGAACTGGTCCTTATTTTTAAAAAAATGCATTATTCCCAAGTGTAATCCCAGACTTCTGTCAACCGCAGCTACTTTTGGATTCAAAATAGGAAATTAGTAACTGATTTGCTGTAGCCACATTGAATAACTGCCTTAAATTCAGCTGAATTCTTGTAATGCTGAATTATATTGGTCTTGGTTTCCTTACTTCTATACAAAAATAGGCTATACAAAGGAATAAACTAAAAAATGGAGTTGTAATGGAAAGCACCAAAGACTGCTGTGTACACAGCAGCATTTGAAGAGAGGGCATATAGATAATTTACCTAGGAAAAGAAGGTTCTTCCACAATAAAGCATGTATTTACATCTCACTGTTCCTGTGTTACAACATAGAAAATTTGAGGCAGTCCCATAAAAGAAGACTAGCAGGAATTTCAAAGGAAGATAACATTTTCCATCCAAATGGTAATGTCCCAGACAGATGAACTGAACATGACATTAGAAAACTGAACATCATGCTAAAGACTATTTCTTGTGGCAGGATTAGTGGCAGCAATGAAACAAAAGATCTGTGATACTAATGTTTGTTCACAGAAATAGATTTTAAAATGCTGACAATGCAGCAACATTAAAATAGGGAAAATGGAATATTTCCAAGGCTAAAATAAACATTTCCTATAACAGTAAAAATATTTGTTTTCTGAAGAATGCCTTTTAATGCATAAAAGATTGGGTAGGAGTAAGCAAGGGAGGAAAAAGACATAGCTATACATTGCAGTCAGTGAAATCTCATTAGCTGATTTCCCCAAGCATTTCAGAATCTTACATTTAATTAAATATGGTAATTTGAACCCTAAGCACTGTTCAGTCATATCTTGCGGTGATAAGCAGTGAAGCATTTCATTTGCCTGCATAAATTAATAGATTGACTGGAGTTTAAAATAGATTTTTATTGTCCTAGCTGGGCTGTTGTATCCAAAACAAACAGAGCTACTCATAGTTTATCCCTGACTAGCGATAGTATGATGCCAGGAATCCAACCTTGAAACCTCTACCTCTAACTTCTCCTGTTGTAGGTGGTCAGAAGCGAACTGTAATCACTTACAGTTCTGGAGTGGGTTTATGTAATGGGGTTTATCAGTAACTATGCATGAAATTTCCAAAAGGTTTTCATTTTAGGAATAACTTTGAGTTCAGTTCTGATTATTCAAAAATATTAAATATCTCTAGACTGATTAAAGAAACCTGCTTATGTTTTATGAACATGAATAATGTGATACGGAAAGAGTTTCTGGATTGGAGCTTGTAACGGAGTTGAATTGTGCTGTTCTGTTAAGTTTGGCTCATTATTATGCTGCTGAAAAATAAGAATCTTGGAGGGGGGCATTGTTTTTTTCTGTTTTTAATGATGACTAGAGGAGCTAGTTGCAATTAATGATAAAAGAGCAAACTTTTCCCGCTGTGCTTAGATGTTGAGACTTCACTATATAGTGAGACTAAATTCTAGTTTCTTGTGTGAATAGTCTTACATTTTCTAATCATGGATATCTTGAAACTCAATATACCTGAAATTAGCTGCAATCATTGTCAACAAATGTGTGTGTGATAAATATGTTTTCTGTAGTTCAAAAGAAGTAAAGGTAGATCCTCATTTTCTCAATGGTTAGCCACCAGAACAGCACAAATAAATCTGCTCTCTGCTCACATCTGAGAAATGTATACAATATATATGGGCTTTGTAAATTGTGTCAATTGTGGTGCCATGGGTTACACAGATCTTAAACCCTTGATACTTCCCTACACTGCCACATCTTTATTGCTATTGGTAACTCAAGTACTGTACCCAAATTAAAACTAGATCTTGTATGTCTCCATGTGCTGCAGTCATACATTTGATTATAAATTAGGTACGGCCTCAGATCAGTTCTGAGAGACCAGAGAATGGACAGTAATGACATAGAATGGACAAAGGATATCAAGCCCCAAAATATAGCTGTATATTAGGTATATTTTGCCAACTTCCAACAGATTGCTGGGATATTTTCCTCTTAAACAGTTTGGCAACACCTGTACAGTTTTGCCAAGCCAATAATTAATTGAGCTGAAACTACACACCAAGTGACAAAGTACTTTCAGAACTTAGTGACAGGACAAATGCCATCTTTCCTTTTCTACGTGAGGAGGAACATTTTCCTTCATGTTTCTGAGAGATGACTTCTAGGGCTCTATTTCCACTGCTGCTCTGAGTGTTTATTAGAGATCCCTGAAAAGGATGGATGGCAAAGTTGGGATGTAGCATAAAGTGGAACTGCATGTCCAAGCTGTTTCTGATAAGCAGGGATCCTGGTTCTCTCTATTTAAAAAAATCCAAAATTCTCGGATAATAATCCAAAATTATCTGATTTTTTTTTTTTTTTTTTATATATATATATAAAAAATCAGATAATTTTGGATTATTATCCGAGAATTTTGGATTTTTATATATATTAGGGGTGTGTGTGTGTGTATATATGTATATTAGGTATCAGTTGAACACAATGTTTTATTGATATATTTACAATTTTAAAGTAATTTGGAAGCCTACCAATGCCTCAGTCATTATACTAAAATAAATTCTAAATATGAGAAGCGTAACCAATTATAATAAAGAGCATGTAGAATATAGATGAGTTAACTAGTAACCAATAGAAGTAAGAATTAGAAATGCATATGTATACGTGTTATCATATATAAGTAATAGAAAAGTTATGTTAGATGCCTCACTCAGACAGAGTGGGGACAGTTTTGTATCTTTTGTCTAAAAAAAGATAAGGGACTCCTTTTAAATGAGCTGTTGACCAGTTCTGAGACTACTGAATCGGGCAGCCGCACCTAGCCTTCGGGTTAGAAAGCAAGGGCTTGATTTGGGAACCTCGTGAACCAACAGACCTCCTTAGTTTATGACTTTGTGAAACAATAAAAGTTTTAAATTGAACATCCAGGTCTGAGCCTGTGCTTAATTCAGTCCTTATATAATTCGGCACGAACTCATACAATATGTACATATTTTGTTTTTTTTTATCTTGGAAAATAAGAGCTCCTCCTGCCCCCTTTGCTCACCAGGACACAGGTCCAGCTGTGGCTGTTTCTGCCCCCCCCACAGCCCTGATATGCCATGCCCCTCTCTCCCAAGCCACAGCCCCCCCATCCCTGCCAGTGCCCCTCACTCCTGACCCACAGTTTCCCACTATCCCAGCCCTGCTGGTGCCTTTCATTCCCAACCTGCTGCCCCCAGGTCCCAGCCCCACTATGTGTGGAGTGGGGCGGAGGTGTGTGGGGCAGAGGGCTGGGTGCCTGACCATAGGTGATGCATCAACAGGCGTGTGCCCACAGTGGGGCACAGGGCTGCCGCCTGTCCAGACCTGCACCAGGCAGGAGCCACCTCTGTAGCCCTGTGGGCGGGATGTGGCATGGGAGGGCAGAGCAGGGCGACAACACTTGCTGCTGCTGCTGCCGCCACCCCCAGGGCCCTCATGTCAGCTGTGCTTCCAGTAGCATGAGAAGTAATGAACCAGATGTGGGGGTGGTCATGCTGCCCTCACCTCCCCCCACCGCCAGCCACTCA